AAACAAGTGAAAAATTTTAATTTCCTGAATATCTCACAGAACAACTTGGAAATTATTCAAGGATAGAACTTAATGACTGTACCATTTTTTTCTAGCAATCTATGGGTTGAAATCTATAGGGTAGTTGGTCAGAAAAATATATCCAGAGAATTTAAACAGGCTATCGATGATTGATATCCATAGTCACAATCTCCCTTCTTTGTGATCCATAGCATTTCTAAAACCTCCTGACACTGATGGTATATATCCCTTATTATACCATGGAGTATTAAAAGCCCAAGTGCTATGTGTCTTTTGTAGTTCTTGGGCAAAAAACATACATGCTGATAGAAGAAGAGAAGCAACAAGATTATTTTTAAAAAACAATACCATTTCAAATGGTACTCAAATCTTTAACTTGAATCTTACCCCAATTCATAGGATAAAACAAAGCAGATATCACAGTAACAAACAAGTACAAAATTATTGTTGCTTTGTGTTTCCAGATGCAAAACAGTACTCATCTGGCTTATTTTAAAAATTGGCATTATTTGCCAATTTATACTATCAGCTTTTGGAGGAAAACAATATTGTGCAAATTAATTCCTTAAAAATACACGCTTAATATAGCTAAACAAAATATAGAGCACAACGCATCCTTTTAAATTTGACCTTCACTGTAGATCTTTCATTTTCCTTCTCTCATTAGACAAGTTCCTTAATTATAGAAGCTATTTCAGGAGTAATTAAGAACTCCCCTTTCAGGAACAGTGATGTAGTTTATGTGGTCATCTACGGAACATTATAATGTGAATGTATTACTTCTTGGATGGCTAACCTTTTGGATAGACAAAAAATGAAAAACGATGGCATTCATTTCATTTCTGACTTTTCAAAAGAACTGATATTTATTAAATGGTAAAAATCTGTGTGGCTTTGGTAGTTAAAGAACACAAGCTTTCCAAGTCCCACATATAGTCCACCATTTAGAACTTGCATTGCACATCCAAGATTTTCACTGTTGAGTTTAAGTTTCAATATTTGTAACATGATAGGATATTTCTTTTAAAAGCAGGGACATGGTGGAGCAGTTAAGTACAACGCTGAATTTAGAAACTAAAATTAAACTAATGTATCAGGATGTTAGTCCACTATTTAACATGAGTAAAATAGAATACAAATCAAGTTTTCCTAACTGCTCTATGTAAGTAAAAGACCATCAATTTTACATAAGAATCAAACTTGTGAGAAGTACAGAACAGCTACCTACAGTTAGATGCACAAATACTGTACAGTGTTTTAGAGAAGATTGGATAGTAAGTCTAGTAAACAGTGTCTGCCATTAGATCGTAAAAATTAGCTTCCCATATAAAGACAGCATGTTCTTCTATTAATGTACCTGGAATAATTGTACTATACCACCGGACACAGAGGCAGGATCAAACAAAAGAGACTACTTCCTATATAAGTCACCTTTCCTGTCAGTGAATATCAGACACATATAACTAAAAGTAGGAAAAATGTAAATTAGATCATAGTTTCAGGAGAGTCAGTAAAGGGTTTGCAGTCTCCAAGGCAGAAAACTCACGGCAGAGTGACATGGCAAAGCAAATCTCCTTAGTTTGTGATGGATAGGAACAGAACAGGGAAAGTATGACAGAAAGGAATGGATATACCCAAGACCATGCTGCCATGACCCACCCAGACACACACATGAGTATGCTTTACTAATCTGCTAGTTGTTTCTTAATTGAATGATATTGAGATACCAAGTTTAATGGTCATGATTCCTATTTTTAGAATATCTTTCAAATACATCTAACATCTTTGTGTGCGTGTGTGTGTGTGTACACGTGTATGAGTGCAAGTGCATGCCAGTAACTAAACCAGGGAGCTCATAGGTATTAGCCATGTGTGAGCTACACTACTAACCCTTAATATAACAATGTCTCTTTATATAAAATATTCCCTATAGTAAGAAATTTTCTGATACTCTAAGGATGTCCTGTGTCCATTTAACTTTGATAATATAAACTGGTAGGTCCTCACATAACAAATCATTTTAGCCTGAGGCACAAAGGAGCTGAATTTTGGCTTTATTTTGTATGATGTATTTTTATTTCAAAAACATACTTGTACTTTAATGCTTTATCAGTAGTCTTAAATTCAAGCATTTTTTCTTTTATAAAAGTCAATTTTATACTCTTGTATGTTGCCAGTTGTATCTTTGTCTTTTGCCTTTTGACATTTGCATTTAGATAGGACACTTTTAGTTATCATCACCTAAAGTTAAAGAGACTTACGAGGCCAGCAATTTTTATTCCTTAAGAGCATAGACTAAGGCAAAGACTCTCAAATACACTGAGTTTCAGAAACAGTATGTGGCTATTCCAAAATGAGACGTGCTATGAGTATAAAATACACAGCAGGTTTCAAATATGATATAAAAACAGAAGAAGTGTCATGAATAATTTTATCTTAATTCAATTTTTTTTATAAAATACACATAAATACATAAAATTATACATGCTAATGAGGTACTATTGGTATTTCAATATATGTACTTGTGTAAAGTTTTAATGAGGTTGAACATAATCTCTCTTCAAACATTTATCATTTCTTTATAGTGAAAACTTTCCAAATCTTTTCTTCCAGCTTTGTGAAAGTACAATTCATTCGTTATCTATATGGTAGAATAGCACACTAGAACTTCTTGCTCCTGTCTATCACTTAGTACTGACAGATCACCCTTTCCCACCCCTCCTAACTCTTCTGCCAGTCTCTGTAAGCACCATCCTTCTCTATTATGAGATCACCATTTATAAACTACACTACGTGTGAGATGGTAGTGTTTGTCTGTGCCTGGCTTATTCCACTTAACACTAAGATCGCTGGCTCCTTGCATGTTTTTTCTTTAAATGATAGGACTGTATTTTTTACTACATGATTAATGGCACAGTGACTTCATGTTGGAATGATACCATTATGGATGTTTTGGATTAAGTAATATCCTTGCTTCTCTTTTTTCTCATTTTGTTACTAAAAATTAAAATGGAATATTCGGCTGGCATTATTTTTCTGTTGGAGCAACAGTGTAAAGTGCTCATGTTAAGGAACAATGGGTATAGCTATGAATAGATGAATATGCACATTCATGTGAATAAATGTTTAGGAATATTGCATAGGCATTAAAACGTGAGGGAAACAATGGGAATAATAACAGTTGATATAAAAGTGTGCTAAGTGCTTTACATGAATTCTATCTTTGATAATCAGAAGCATTCTATTATGTTCATTTTACAAAGGAGAAAGCAGTGAAGTGAAATAATAATCCTAAAGTCACATATGCTTCATCCTGTAACAGGAGTTTCATCCACAAATGTCAACCTCAAGTAAAGCCTAGTTCTGGTCTATCATTATACAAGGCCTCTCTTTCCTCCACAGTGTTTTTCCTACCTACTAGCCAATCTTTTATCCCTATTTACCTACTAACATCCACTTACTATTTCCAATGCAGTTTTAGTTCACCTGACTATGCCATTCTCCGAAGTCACTACAGTCAATACTCTCAGCCTAAAGGTTCACAGATTTTTATTTGTATGAAATATATTAATTCTGTCTGACTTATCAGGTTTTGTTTTGGAGAGATACTAGGTATCAAACTCAGGACCTCACACCTGCCAGGCAGGTGCTGTGCCACTGAACTAAATCCCTGGCCCAACTTATCAGTTTTATAAAGGTAGAGACTACATATCTCATTTATTTTGTGCTGTCCACAAAAGCTTACACAGGAAATAAACCAAAATATTTATTAAATGAATATATAGGGAATACAAGGCCTTGGTAAGCCAGACAGTCTTGTGTTTGATGACCTGAATGATGATAAAGCACAGAGAACTTTGATAGGAATTATACAGAAATTTCCTTTTGCTGGGAATGTATTTCCCTACTTTTTTATGTAATGCATATGCTGGACTTAGGCCCAACCCTCATTAGCTAGTAACCAAATAAGATTCACACCACTGAGGGGTCTTTTTGGACAAAAGTCATAGATATGTAATTACACTTGGAAACTCTTGTGAGAAATACACAATGTAGACATGAAAATATTCTTTTTCCTCTTTATATTTTTGTCCAGACATACAGCCAAAATTGTAATGGAGCTGTACCACTGATAAAAGGCACACTAAATCTGCAAAATAGGTTTATTTTAATAAAAAGAAAATGCTTGAAATATACCACTTCTTCCTTTCTAAAATAACACATCTTTTCAAATAACAATGTGACTACTTTGCTGAAGCCAAAATCACTACTAGTCATCAAAGTGCTACTTTTATCATCTTCTCCAACTGGGATGCCATTCTTTTATCCTAAATCTAAACACATCAATTTGTGTTTCCACTGTAATAATTGATGAACTCCCATAGATTCTTGCTGAGCACAACGCTAGCTTTTATACTATGAGGTACCTACTAAATTATAATATTCCAATCGAGAACTACAGTCATGATACAAGACACATTAAGCCAGGTGTGTACCGCAGGATACTCCCTGCTCTCCTGTATTTGAGAGGCTGGATTCTACTCTATGACTCTTTCAAGGTCCTGTTGGCAGGTAGCATAAAGAGACAGTGTAGTAGCTAGAACAGTGGGTATCACACTACTGACATTTTGAGACAAATAAATCTTTGAAGAACAGGTCTGTCTTGTGTACTGTAGGATGTTTTGTGGCATCTCGGACTTCTACCCACTACATTCTACAAATATCGCCACCCTTTCTGACACACAGGACCCTGCCAATGTTGTGACAACCAAAAATAGCTTTAAGCATCACAAATTCTGTTTGGAAGTAGAGGGGAAAGCTCTCTGCTTTGAGAGTTAGAACACGAATACACAAATCCTGGCAGAAGACTGGCTAAATTAGAATCTTACCTTCTTAACTTCGAAGCTATGTGATGTTAAACAAGTCTCAGAATGCATAGGTTTGCTTATGCGTAAAATATGGGTAATAATAGTACTTACCTCAAAGTAGTTATGGTGATGAAATAAAAAGCACAAGGAGAGTGGCTGAAATGGAATAAGCATTATAAGTGATTAAACTTATTATTTACGTTATATTAAAATTAAAACATAAGATTTAATCTCTAGTTTGTAAGTAATATGTTAACTTGGCAAATTAGTCAATAGGCTGGGTTTCAGTTTTCTTATTAATAGAGTGTATTCCAAATATTTGCTAGGAATTTAGATTAATATGTTTAAAATTTCAGGTTGTATAATCAGACCACCTGGATGAGAAAATAGGAACCAATTATTAGATGTCTGGCCTTGGACAGTTACCTAACTCTGTTTTCTGACTCCATACAACCTGAATAATAAAATCCAAACTCCATAAATTCAGTGTGACAATTAACTGAGATCATCTAAATTCTTAGCAGAGTACTGAATAATATTCTAACACTCCCTATATTTAATACTTGCTAGTACTATTAACTTTCCTATCTTTTAAGACACATCTATCTGTAAGACCAAGGAGAACCAAGTCATTTAAGAGTAGTGAAAATGGAACTGTGACATGACCAATCCACTGCATTTATAAACCTTTGAATATGAATAAAGGCCATTTTGATTGTGGCCCTGGAGTATTCTCTGACCATGAGTGAGATAGGCTCTGGGTCTTTTTAGGGCAGACAGTCACAGAACTCTACAAATGAATTCTATATACCACTCTCTAGGACATGGGCTCACTAGGCCACAGAAGAATATTCCCTGGTTAGGGCCATCAGGAAGTAGAATCCTCAGCTTAATCCCTGTTCTCCTCCACAATAGGAATCTACATGAATGGCTCTCTTCCTTTCATATACCTATGTGTCTGAGTAACTAGCACAATGCCAACCGCACAGTGGTTACTCCATAAATATTTGCTAGTAATTTTGGAATAAATTTCCCAACCCTTGCTAGAACATCTGGTGGAGATGTCAAACATATTTAATAGTCCAATCTGTAGGAGAAGGTAAGGTACAGGAAGAGGCTTTGGGGGTAGTACCATGATTAAATGTTATCCTTAGAAGTCAATCAGTCTACCTCCAACTGCCATGAATTGTTTTTCACCCAACATAGACAAGACTCTCATCTTCATGAATAAGCCTCATGGAAGCAGAGGAGAAACAGTAACTAAGGCACACATGTGCCTCAGAGGAGAAACAGCAACTGAAAGCCCAGTATCTGCTCCTTACTCCCTCGTATCTGAGCCACCAAGAGGTGCCAGAGTTCCAGCTTTTACCATAACGGTGGTAGTACCAAGCAGTCTTGAAACCATGAATTAACTGTGAGGTTAATGTCTGAGCTTTCCAGAATACACATGCTCATCTTAAGTGAGCTAGCAGGAGATTCTCATAAAGGGACTGGTCAAAATGGATCGGGGAATGACTTCTGGAACAATAGCGTAATAAGACGATTCAAAACCTTGAGAAGCAACGATGAACAGAAATAGGGTTGAGATGGGAATACCGAGAAAGAGCAATGAAAAATTATGTATTTGATAGAAAATACACAGTACTCCCATTCTCTTGAGGGCATGAAAAGTAAAAGTGAAAGATGTGTAAACTGTACCTGCCAAGCAGAGATTTGTCAGAAAGAAATGTAACTATAAGTCAAGCCAGAAAGGGATGGGCAGAGCAGGTGCATCGCATGTGACACTTCTGACCTGGAAACAATAGCTCTCTTGAGTGTCATGTTCAGAAGGATTAGGAAGCAGTGTCTGGGTTTAGTAGAACAGACTACACAGATAAATTAATGATGACTTCCATAAGCCTAGAGAAAGAGAAGTGATAACAAACTATGTATTTGCTATGTTTGGCTTACAAACTGAAGTAAAGTCATAAAAACAAAATCATGTCTTTACAGCCAGAGTTGCCCTCCAGGTCTAATTGCTGAGATTATGTAGCCTGGAAGCATGGGAAGCCAATGAGTTTTCTGTAGAGGCCAGAGTATTCGGATGCAAAACTGAAACACTTTCCAGAGCCTTGAGCTGTTTCAGTACCTTATCCACGAAGGCATCTCCTTTTCAGTCTGTTTGCCACATGAGCACCAGTACCATAAACTAGTTTCAAAGAGAAAGACCAAGATGAAAACCCTAACTGGCTATATCATGAGAGTAGTTTTGGACTTAGTAAATTTTATTATTTAATTTGAGATACCATAGACAACTCTTTGGAATGTATTTTACTTTGTGAAGATATTGCTGGTGGAATAAGAAGGGGACTGTAAATGCAAAGCAAAAGAAAGGTAGGGCAACTGTGCATAATTCCCAAGACTGTTCATCTGTTTATGTTTAAAATTCTTTCTTATTGTGTTTGGAGACTTTGTAGCATGTGTTGTAATCAGTATAATTCTAAATGAATGATCCCTTTTAAAAACTGATGCAACACACAAAATTAGGTAGGAGAATAACAAAGACTGAAATAGTATACTACTATATTCAAAGCTCCCACAAAACAATCTCCATGATCTTTCTTAGGAAGATGTTAACACCACTTTTAAATCAACAAGGGGGAGAACATAATTTAGGAATTTGCTGAGGCTGCAAGTCTCTTACCTTAGGTATTAAGTGTATGTAATTTTTGTACCCACAGGGGATCCATTTATCAGATTTGAAACGTCGATGGGAAATCTAGTGCTAATACTTCCTAGCTTCAGCTAAGAAAGAATGCTAGAATCACACACAGACTTATACATATAAAGGGTGGAATGCAAAACACTCAAGGTCAAAAGGAAGAATTCTACAGTCTAATGTACAGATGAAATGTCCAACACTGCATAAGTCACTAACACAAAGAAAATATGCTTGGGGAGGTTGGATAGCAAAGCCAATACCCTTCATTACAGTCGCCACACTAGAAATGTACAGGGCCTGCTATCATTTCATTTACATTTCATTCCTATCACAAAACCTATTTAAAAAGAAAGCCAAGAAGAATCTCTGCTTATATAAAATCATTTTTATAAAAATAAAAAGTCATTTGGTTTACCTTTATATCTAAAAATGAAATAAAAATATTCATGGGCATGGATTTGAAGAAAATACCACTCTTGAAAAGCTCACTAATAAAATGCATAGTTTTCGTAAGTTTGTCCATCCCCAAGTGATCGCCGTCAACAGCTCAGAGAGAGGATATATAGATAATGCCTAAGTAATATTTTTAAATGTAATGACCATATCAAAATTCAATTATGTGCACCTAATAGCAAGTGAATTTACATTTTAACAGGAACAATTTATGAAAAAGCTTAGCAGGACTTACTGTATAGGACTGTACATAACAGAAAGATGTGTATACAGGAGTTGGTAGAACACATTTCATTTTTTAACGTATATCTTACACTATTGGTTAATATTAACTTTTATTGGTATAAAAATGGCCTCATACATACATTATAAAATTACTATTTAGTTCAATTCACAGCAGCATAGTGAGATTAAAATGTGGTAAAATACCATGAATGTACGTACATCTCTTAGATAAATTATATGGAGCAAGAGACTGTACAACTTAATCATCAAACTGAGGACTGGATAAAGCTTCCAAAGTTTCCAATGCTTTAGTTGAACCTGAAGAGTGTTTCTCCCTCCCTCTACGTCACACCCATAGAAAAGAAGCACCTGTTCTACAACTGGAACTAGGCTGCTCAGAAAATGGCAGGTGGGAGACATTAAGTCTGAGTGGGAATTTTTCAAACATGCTTTTCAGCGAAGCTTAAAATGGTCAAAATCTTCCCCCAGCTGATAATACAAAATCTAAATCCTCAGAATGGCCAAGTGGCACAGTCCTTTGCATTTTTTCAACTGAGATACATAATTAGACTGAATATAAGAGTTAGAATATAAATTTATGTTGAGAGAGTAAGTACCATTGAACTAAAATATGCCAAATTAATTACACAAGAAACTGCTGCACTTAGGGAAGAAAATAACCCAAGTATGCACAAAGGAACTATGACATGGTAGCACATATCAGGACATGGGATTTCTAGTCCATTACAAATGCAGTGATAACCTTTTTGTTATGCCCCTGTGACATGAGTTAAAGAAGATCCTTGAGAAAATAAAGAGGAATATACCTAATTGTTTTCAGAACATATATGGAGCCTATATTTGGGGATATTCATAATTTATCTTTTCAAACAAATTCATACATGTTTTTCTACAATTCTTTACTGTTTTGACTTTCAACCTTCTATGGGAACTATAGTTTTATATTAAAGCAGGAATCAAGACTGTTGTAGCAATATTCTGGCTGCAAAGTTTGGAGTTTTTTGTTGTTTTTTTATTGCATGATTTTTAATATTAAGAAACAAAATAAAATATATTTCTTAAAGATAACATCTAAGTACATTTCAAATGTAAACAAAATATGGATAGTGGTAAACATGACAATGGTAGTTTAAGAAGTAGCACTTAGAATTAACACCCAATACTAGATTCTAAATTGTGTGAACATGATCAACCAGGGAAAATTGACAAGAAGGAAGGGCGGTCCTAGTCTTAAGCCTCAAATTCACAACATACAAGGAAGAAAGGGCTTCATACAGACTCTGGATTTTGGCTGTGTGGATTCGGGTTCCAGAACCATGCAGAGCCCAATATAAGACAGCTTAACTGCACTTTGGATTAGTGAACTTATCTGTAAACTAGGGACAATAATAGTACTCATTTCATACGGTTCTGTAGGATGCAATAAGCTTCCATATATGAAGCATTTAATTCACTACTACAAAATAAATGCTCAAAGGATGTAGCTCCCCAAAATTGAAATCATTCAAACAGCTGCCCAGGCATGTTCATACTACTAGTATTTACAGTAGCTAAAAGGTAGAACTCAAGTGCCCATAGATGGAGGGATGGATAAATAAGATGTGGTACTCATACACAATGGAATGCATTTTATTTTTACTCAGAAAGGAGTGAATTACAGATACACACCACAATCTGGGTGAAAGTCAAAAACACTATGGTAAGTGAAGGAATCCAGACACAAATAATTACATGATTCCATTTAAATGAAATAAAG